TGGGGAAGGGGCAGGGACACAGCTGGGCACATCGCTGCGTGGGGAAGGGGCAGGGACACAGCTGGGAACATCGCTGCGTGGGGAAGGGGCAGGGACACAGCTGGGCACATCGCTGCATGGGGAAGGGGCAGGGACAGGCCCGGGAAGGGGAGGGGATGGGTACTGAGCTGCTGGCAGCTCATTCCCACGGTTCTGGGATCAGGCATGGTTCTGCGGGAGTCCAAGGTCCACCTCATCCACACGGAGATCTGCAACAGCAGCCGGTGGTACGGGGGGGCTGTTCATGCTGACAACCTGTGTGCTGGGTACCCGCAGGGCGGCATCGACACCTGCCAGGTAGGAGCCCCCCCACAGCCCACTCTGTGCCCTCTCCACCCCTCCCCTCCCCACCCGCGGGTCCCTGTCCTATGTCCCCTTGTCCCCAAGGCCTGTTCCTGCCCACAAAGCCCATCCAGTGCCCTCAGCAGACCCAAAGTGCAGGTGTGACCCTGGAACATCTGTCTTCTGCACATCTGGGACCCATGTGCAGAGATGGGAGAGCCCCTGACCCTGAATGAGGACCTGGCAGGGACTGGGGGAGAGGAGCCAGCCCGGGGCTGTCGGCAGCCCCCACAGTCCCTGAGCCATCTCTCCTGGCACAGGGGGACAGCGGGAATCCCCTCATCTGCAAGGACAACAGAGCTGACTACTACTGGCTGGTGGGGTTGAACAGCTGGGGAAGAGGCTGTGACAGAGCCAGGCGCCCCGGGATCTACACCTCCACTCAGCACTTCTACAACTGGATCCTCATCCAGACGGGCCTGAGCCCAGCTGACATCACCGGTTCAGCACCGGAGCCGAACTGCGCCCCGACCCCTAAGCCAGAGGTCACCATGGCTTCGGCGCAGACCACGACGCCAGGGCCGGAACAAGAGCCAGGGACAAAGCCAAGGCCAGCGCCAGGGCCGACACCAGAGCTGGTGCCCGTGCTAGAGCCAGTGCCAGAGCGGGTGCCAGTGACAGAGATGACGCCAGAGCCGACTCCAGGGCCGGAGCCGGTAACAAAACCAACGCCAGAGCCGACGTCAGCGCCACAGCCAAGCCCGGAGCCGGTGCCGGTGCCGGAACCGACCCCAGTGCCAGTGCCAGAGCCGACAGGAGAGACAGTGCCAGAGGCAACGACAGAACCGGCGACGAAGCCAACACCAGAGCCAGCACCAGTGCCAATGCCAGAGCCGAAGCCAGTGCCAGAGCCAACGCCAGAGCTGGTGCCAGAGCCATCACCCGAGCCAGCCACCCCCCTGGGGCCCGAGCATCCAGTGCCAACCCCGGCACCGGCCCCGGACCGGCTCCTGGTGATCTCGGTGTCGTACCAGAGCCTGCTGCAGTTCTGTAACCTGCTCAGGGATTTCCTGCAGTTCCTGAGGGACCAGCTGGGCTGAGCGCAGCCCGGCGGGCGCAGCTCCGGCTGCAGAGCGCGGCCCGGCCCGCTCCGTCCCTGCCGCCCCTCCCCTGCCGCCCCGAGCCGCAGTCCGTTCTTTGTCGAAATAACGCTGTTCGTGCTCCCACACCGCGGTGTGCATTGAAATAACGCCGTTCGTGCTCCCACACCGCGGGCTCTGCGCCGTTCCGCCGCCGGGCAGGGCCAGGAGGGCCGGGCGGGAGAACGAGCGGGGCTGGCCCGGTTCGGGAGGAGCCCGGGAGGAGCCAGGGCGGAGTGGGAAAAGCGCTTTAATAACCGAGCGGCCCGGGAACGGAGCAGCCCCGAGCCCCGAGGGACGCGCAGGTACGGGAGGTGCCACCCTGAGCTGCTGCGGCCACCCAGGGGTGTCCCCTCTGTCACCAGCTCGTGTCTCTGAGGCTGCCGGGACCCCGACCCCACTGCCCCCGCTGTGCCCTGGGTCCCGGGTGGGATCCGGGACGTTCCCTCTGCTCCAGCGGGGTCGCGGCTCCCAGGAGCTGTCCTGGCTCTGGGAAGGGGCTGGAGCGTGGGGACCCTCCCGGAACGGGTCAGGGATCCTGGATTCCGTGATCCATCAGCGTCTGGAGGCCGTTTAGGGACCTGCCGCGGGCTGGCCCGGCCCTGCTGCCTCCGCAGCCCGCCCTGCAGGGATATCCGCAATTCCCGGCTCGGAGCCCCCCCGTCCTGCAGGGCCCCCCAGGGCCGGGACAGCCCGGGCCGTGGGGCTGGCACCGGGGGCTCAGCGGGGCTGCGGGCCCCAGGCTGGCAGCGGGGTGAGCCCGGGGGGCAGCAGGGCGAAGGGGGGGCTCTCCAGGGGCTGCCAGGGCGCTGGAGCGGGGGTCCCGCCGGGAGCCAGACCTGCGGGACGGACACGGGGCTCAGGCACGGCCCGCCGGGCCCTGGGAGGGGACACCCAGGGACCGCCAGCCCCGGAGCGCGGGGGTCCCTCCCCCGCGGGCAGCTCCCGCGGCCGGGCCGGCCCCTCGTACCGCAGCAAGCGTCGTCCCAGGCGCAGGGCCCGGAGGCGCAGAGGTGCAGCGGGGCCGGGGGGCGCGGGTGGGCGGCGAGGCCGTGCAGGGGCTGCCCCGAGCCCGCGGCCGCGTCCGGGAGGGGCTGCGTGGGGACCAGAGAGGGACATGTCCCGGGCGTCCCGGGGCTGCTCCGGACCGCGGGGACCGGCAAGGGTCGGGGCGCTCCGGACAGGGCTCCCCACGGCAGCGCGGGCTGCGGGGGCTGCCCGAGCTGCTTGGGGTGTCCCCAGCACCCCGGAGCGGCCGCGTCCTACCCGTGCGGCGGCTGCGGCGGCGGGACCGACGGCGGCCGGGATCCAGTCGCACCAGGAGCCTGCAGGGCACGGGCGGGACAAGGTCCTGGCTCGGGCACCGCGCGGGCCCCAGCCCCGGTTCACCGGGGCGCACCGGGAGCGGCCGTGTCCTCTCCCCAGCTCCCAGCGGGGCTCTGGGAAGCGACCCCCGGTGTCCCGGCGCCAAACGTCAGCCGCGCTCCCTCCCCGGGGCGCCCCTGGGTCCCGCGTCCCGTCCCCTGGGTGCCCGGGCTGTCACCTGCGCCGCCAGCCTCCAGCTGCCGCTTGCTCTCCCGGCGCCACTTGGCTCGGCGGTTCGAGAACCAGACCTGCGGAGAGGGCGGGACTGAGGCCGCCCCCCGCCCGTCCCACCCCCGCGCCCCCCGGCACAGCTCCGAGCCCCGGGACACGGGTGGGACACGGGCAGAGAAGGGGGCTCCACCCCGGGCACGGGCGCGGGCGTGGGCAAAAGAACGCCCGTGTCCTGGTCCCACGCATGCACCGGGCACGGGCGTGGGCAAAAGAACGCCCGTGTCCTGGTCCCACGCATG